CTTGGGGTTTCGGTTGCGATCGACCCTTCTTTGATTTAGTAGTTATATGCTGGGTTGTGTTGTGCTGTGGGTAGCCGTATGGCGTGAATCCTAGATTATGAATTATGGCCGCTTGGGCAATTATGTGCATTGTTTAGCCTGATTAAAAATCTATGATGTTGTATGAATATATGCGATGAATGTGTAAAATGCATGAGTATGTTTGTAAACATGTGTGCATTTTCAAAGTGTCATGAGTCATGTTGCATGTGAAGCATCATGGTATGCATTCTTGTGTCGATTGATTCCTCGGTGAATCTGCAGAACCTCGTGTGCCCTTGTGGGGTGTGAGCGATGGTTAATTATTGATTCCTCGGTGAATCTGCAGAACCTCGTGTGCCCTTGTGGAGTGTGAGCGATGGTTAATTATTGATCCCTCGGTGGATTTGAAGAACCTCGTATATTACGATGGTTATTTTGATTCCGCGTAGAATCTGCAGAACCTCGTGTGCCCATGTGGGGTGTGAGCGATGGTTATTTGGTTCTTCAATTGAACCTGCTGAAATGAGTCGGTACCGCATTTGCATCTGCATAGAGTCGTGTGTCGGTCTCTATGAGTTGCATGTTGACATCCTGCATGGTGTATGGTGAATGAACATAATTGTAAATGTTTATATGAATTGTTGATGATTGGCATGATTGGTATGCTTGAAGACACATGTATGTGTGAATATATGAGTATGTATGTTTTGTGTGTTCATGAACCGATATAAACATTGTTGACGCATATTGTATATGCATGATGTTCTATTTGTAAATAGATAATGTGAATACATTGCGATGTACGGTATGACGAGGTGAGTTGCGGTGAGAATGCGGAAGACGTATATTGGGTATTAAGTATATATATATATATATATATATATATATATATATATATATATATATATATATATATATATATATATATATATATATATATATATATATATATATATATATATATATATATATATATATATATATATATATATATATATATATATGTTTTTATGCATTGTTATTATGATATCGTTTTTCACCCTTCTATTGTTTCTTTTAATGCTCTATGAGGCATTGCAGACTAGATTGTTGGAGTTATTTTGTGAAGCGTGGCTTCTTCCCTTTTTGGTCGGTCGGCTCTGATATGTAGCACCGGGTAGAATAGGATTTATTTTGATTCTTTTGTGATACATCTGAGTATGTATCTGCTGTTGATATGTTTTGTAAAACATGATGAATGATAACTGTATATGTGAATACATGTTTGGTGAATTATGAAATATTTGGATATTTCCGCCTTTGTTCTAAATATTTCTTGTGGGTGTTATTCCGTTGTTGCATATCTGTTGAGCAGGTGTTGTATGTGTTGGAATTTTTATGATAATGTGATAATTCCCTTTTATGCCATGTTGCAAATGTACTCTGATGAAATTTTAAATTTATGCCTAAATGATTAATTGTATTATTTGGGGGCATAGAAAGGGGGTGTTACATCCTCATTACTAGCCCTAGGTTTTTTGGCATGGCCTATGGGTTTTTATTTATAGTAAGTTGGAAAGAAATCCTTAAGTTTGCTAGGACCGACATTAACATCAGATAAAAGACCTAATAAAGCCAAAGGCTTACGAGAAACAGTGAGAGGAATGAGTACCTATGAATCGTAAATTCTTCTATTTTCCTCAGCAAGTGGTTCATGCAGATATTGTTGATTTCTCACCATAGTTGAACTAGTGATCGTGTCAAATGGAGGAAGCTGAGAAATCTTCTTAGGGACCTTCACAGGCTTAGTGGATTCCTTAGTAGCTTTGCTGGCATCTTTAGTGGATCGAGTTGATGAAGCCATTGTTGAAATGTGAAGAGGGAATAACTGGGTCCCTTGAGGTAGAAGAAAATCGTGAAGATGAGAGTTCAGAAAATGTAAAAAGTGAAAAGAAATGAGAAAGGGAACAGTTCTAAGATGGCATTAATGGTTAAAATTGGAGCGGGACACATGTTCTTCCCACTATCCTTGATGAAACGGTGGCAGTTGATGCCTAGCCCTATGATCTCCTAGGGTCTAGAAGGCATGATGATGATAAAGATTCTCACGTAGGTTAATGAGACATTTCAGAAAAGCCTAATCACGACCATGGCGTCATAGGCGTGCTGAAAAAGGAAAACCATTTTATAACATTGATTCATCATAAATGTCGAATCGCACATGGATCATTTGAGACGTCAAATAAGACTATAAAAAATTTCCTTTTTCTTCAGTGATGTCGAAAATGACATTTTTTGGGGGCAATTTGTTAGCTCCCAAATTCGACGCCTAGTTTGGATTAATGGAAACAATAAAGAAAAACAATTTATATGAAGTTGTGAGAAGCTTCGACAAAATTGTGAAACCTGATTGTTTTTTGTCGAAGTCACCTTTTTGTACAGGGAGAATATGCTGAACAGATTTGGGAAAATATTCTAAGTCTTGGAAGTTGATTCGATAGAGAATTACTGATGGTGTTTTTGATGTAAGATTTGAATTCAGATGAAGGAGGGAACTTTGTTCTTATCCAGATTTTTGAAAGAGACACGTGGAGCATTTTCAAGAAAAGAAGACATGTCGAACGCCACTTGTCTTATTTTTTTAGGAAGGCCTTTAGGGGTAGTTATTTCATCTTGAATTGTGAACTGACTTGAGCATTGAAGTACTAACCTTGCATGTCCGCCCATACGCCATCATATCGGAGATTAATGTCACAAGTTCAAGATTCCTTACCATCAACGTACACCTAATTTTGGATCTAGAACGGAACAATATTAATAATATGGAAACATTTATTACTAGTCATTTAAAAAATTCTACTCATGCTCCTAACAATGAAACACATAAGGCAAGAGATAAAGTTATAGCTCCACAAAATACTAATCTACTTAATAATGATGGTTCGCAAATTAAGTAAGTTAGCTAAATTAAAGCAATGACCCCATGATGCTTCCATGAAACACAATCACTTGGCAAATATTTGGGCATCCCTCTCCTCAAAAGAGTACCAAAAAGATCTAATTTTAATTATATCATTGAGCGAGATAAGTCGAAGTTTGCCTCTTGAAAAACTCGACACCTTTCTTTTATAGGTCGGGTAACTCTCTCTAAAGTTTTTATTGAAGCCCTTCATGCCTATATTATGATTACTGTTATCATTCCTAAAGCTTGTTTGCAAGAGTTTCAAAAGTTACAATGCTCTTTTATTTGGGGTGATAGCAAGAAACATATAATTATTGATTCGATGAAGTGGGATGTGATAATGATGATGCCAAAGTTCTTATGAGGTATGGGTATTAGACGAATGGATGTTATGAATAATGCTAATCCTCTAAAGTTTGGTTGGGTCATTGGCAGTAATGAACAATTTCTTTGTTGTAAACTTATGCGTGGTAAATATATGGGGAACAATTTTGGTTATGAAGATGTGATTGTTAAGGAAAATGATTCAAGTTTATGAAAGAATCTCGATAACTTATGATCTAAGTTTTCTCAGTTTGTGTATTGGTCTATAGGAAATGGTGCTAATATAGATGTTTAATCTCATTGTTGGGTTGAACTGATATGAAGTTGATGGGTATTAATACAAATGGTGTCAATACGACTTTTTATCAACATTTAAGGGTCTTTTTGGATCTACATGGTCAATGGATTGTGGATCTTTTAAAGCATTTGTTTCCTCAAAATGTGGTAACTAAAATTCTAGCTATTTCCCCTCATGATGGTAATAGTGGAAGAGATATTTATTGTTCACTAAGCGATACAAAATGTGAGTATACTATTTTGTCAAGTTATAAATTAATGTGTAATTTTGGTAGGTAAAATGGTGAGGAAAGTTAGAGGTTGATATGGAAGTTTAAAGTCTCTGAATGAATAAGGTCCTATATTTAGGTGGTGTATCATGGTAGGATAATGACCAATAAGAAAAATAAAATAAAATGCAACTAGGAGGACCTTTTTGTAGTCATTGTGGAACAAAGGTAAATCTACATACATATCTTACATGATTGTCCTTTGGCTTTTGCTATTTGGGCTAATGTGATTAAGTTGCATATAAGGGACGTTTTTTTCACTAGTAATATTAAGGAGTGAGTAAATACTAATTTGCGTTTGAATTTTGGTATTATTGGAGATTCGTCGTGGTCGGAACTTTGAGCAACCTATTGTTCTGCATTATGTATATGGAGGAACAAGGAACAACATGATGAGATTTTTTTGAGACCTCGAATTTCATGACGGCATGTTACTAAAGTTGCTTATGAGTAGTTTTTGGCAGCGGAGCTACATGATAGTAAGATGAAGTTGACTCGAAAGGCTAAGCAAATAAGATGGATTCCTCCATCGAGTTAAGTAAGATTTGAACACCAATGAAACTAGTAAGAATGAATTTAAAGATGGATGTAATGATCTTTTAAAAGGTTGTGTGGGTGAGTGACTTGAAGGTTTCACAAAATATTCGAGTTTTTATAATGCATATATTGCTAAATTTTAGGGTGTACTAGAGGAATTAAGATTAAAAAGAAAAAAAAAAGAATTTGGATTTTAAGTTATTAAGCTTTATAAAGATTTCAAAATAATTGTTCAAAATATTTTGAATTTTAAAAAGATAGTATAATTGGATTGGTTCAACAAATTTAATAATGGCTCAAATTAAATTAAAAAATTATATACACATCAACCTATCATATGATCTAAGTTTTAATTTTATCTACTTCTATATTAATTGATATGTCATTTTTTCTTTTCGAATTTCAGCTCATCTTTTCTTCCAGAAAAAATACTAGTATGAACTAAATAACAATGATCATGAATTTGTCCGTATATCATGACTATATTTATCAAGATAATAATGTGCTGCGTTATACACATTTTACACTAAAACAAAAACTAATTCGAGATATAAAAAAATTTAAATAAATACAATGAAATCGTAAGAGGGAGTGCCGGTAAAAGCAGACAGTCAAACCGGAGGGCGCGGCGAGTCAACAGCCGCCGCCGTAGCTGCTGAAGCGGAAGTACCTTCCCCAGCACTATTAGCCACCCTCGGTGACCTAATAGACGACGCTCTTACAAGAAAAGGAGGCGCCATGGTGAAAACCCACCGGTCTGATTTGAAACCCCGGTCCAACCACCTTACAGACTTCCCTCTGCTACTCCCCTCGCCACCACCGGTTCGATATCCCCTCCGTGAACTAGTTTCTCTTGGCAACGCAACTAAGCTTCTAGCCCGATGCAATTCTGGGTTCTGTAATATCTGTTTCCTCATTTCTAGAGGCAGCCTCAAAGTAAACCGTTCGGTATTCTCACCCGGTTGAACCAACGAATGACCGGTCGAATGAGACCGCGGAAACCAACGAGGCCTACCAGACCGGGAGCCTCTCGTACGGTTCCGGTTCAGCGTCTCGTTCACGCTCAACACTTCCGGTTCAGTTGACTCTTTAACAGAACCATCCTGTTCAGGAAGAGACTCAACAGCATCGTTTTGAGCCTCGATATCTTGTTGTTCGGTATTCAACACCGGGATTCCATGAACCGATTCACCCGGTTGAGGAACCAAGTTGGCTCTGCAAACCGGACAAGTCGTATGTGAGCCGAGCCACTCGTCAATACACTCAGGGTGAAAAACATGATCACACTTCGGAATCAAACGCAGCGTTTCAGTTTCTTCAAACTCGTTCAAACAAACAGCACATTCTAAAGTAGCTTTTCCAATTTTATGAATCTTCACGAACGAGTATTCAAAGATCGGAAATGTTTCAATCACCGAAGCATCGAGCCCACGCGCCGCGCGTCGTGATCGTCCTGTAACTCCAGCTATGTTGCGGATGCTGTTTGAAGGTGAATCAGCGCATTGACGGATGTAGATTGAGAAGAATCCCATCAGAAAAAGAGCAGCTATGAGTATCACTATAATTATCGCCATGGAGGGGCTTACGCGGTTGTAATAGTTGTTATCGTTTGAGTTACCGTTGACTGGTTGTGCTCCGGCGAAGGGGACACCGGACAAAAACAAGAAGATGAAGACAAAACATAGAGGGTTAGTTCTGCCATTTTGATTATCCATTGTTAATGAAATTGTGAGGAAGAATAAGAATGAGTCTGAAGAAGTGAAGGGTGAGAGGTTATAAATGAAATGAAATGAAGGGTTTGGTTTGTGAGTGAGAATAAAAAGACACAAATCTGTTATGTTTAATGTTTGTTTAGGACAATTTGATTAGGAGGAAGGTGTCGTGTAATTTGGGTCGGGTCATAAAGTCACTGAAAATGGGGTCCACTTTGAGTATTAATCTTATGTTGGTCAGAGACGGTGTCCAAGTACAAACGTGGACCAACATAATGGATCGGAAACTTCCGAAAAAGATTGACCAATCTCGTTCGTTAGTGTGTTTTGCACTGTTGAGTAATGTTGGTATTATTGTTGAGTTATTTAATTATGTGTACAGCTTTATTTGGTTAAGTTTTTAGTCGCACGTTTCTTTTTGCTTGGCTAAATAATTCGAACAAGATTTGGATGAGAAAGGGAGAAAAAGGAAAAAACTTCAAGATTTTCCTTAGAAAAAATGCCTCCAACAAAAATTAATGCGAAATTTCTAATTTTGGTTATAATTGTTAAATAAAAATGCTTAAAGTGTTTTACCTTTTGAAATATTAAATCCAACTTGTAATTTTCATTTTTGCCAAATATTAGGATAAGAACCGTTAATTTACATCGTTTTTGATACTTTTATCTTGTATTATTTAGAAGAAATACATTTTTTTATAGGTATATTGAATGTATCTAGTCTATATATTATTTAGGTATAATAATTATTTAATGTATTTAAAAAATAATTTAATTTTTATAAATAGGACCAGATAATGTATAAGTTAATATTTTATACATTGAAATTAAAACAAATAATTATACTTAATTTATTTTGCCTTTATAAATTTATTAGTTGAAGAACTATGAACTAATATGTTTATAATAATTTAAATTTGCTTTGAGTTTACAGGACCCGGTTTGTCGACTTTAAAATATGTTGAATCTTCTGAGAGCGTTTAAGCTACCTTATGCAGGTGAATTTGGCCTAAAATCGCATTGCCTAGCTCGTCGTAATATGTTGAGGGGGGTGAGAGCACAAATTTGTGAAAACGACTCAACTATAAGGACAAGAAGTTGATTCAACCATGAGTCATGTAACGACTTGTCAAATATTATGTGGTCGAATGACAAACTAAGTAAACATGCTAATGATAGCATGGGGACATGATTGTCATATAACGACCATAGTAAAAAATAACATGATGCATGTCGTACAACCAAATCTCGGACATGAGAGAGATTTGGCATTGAACGACATTAATTATGCAACGAAAACTCTATATTGCAAGAGTATACGAGAGCAACTATAAAAGGTGTGCTAGTTGTCAAAGGAAAGATATCACATATTCACACATTCATACTAATTGGGGTTTTGCTTAGGGATGACAATTAGACCCATCTCCAATTGGTACCTGCAAAAATTACCCATAATGAGTACGGTAAAAATCCATAAAATGGATACGGACAACTACCCACTAAAATAAGCGGGTATGGGTACATGTACGAGTACCTTAGTACTGTTAAGAATGTAATTTTTTGTGTCGAGTTGTATTAGTGTGTCAAATTATCGAAGCAGGTTGCTTCACACAGGATTTCGACAGGCATGTTTTAGTACTGTTAACTATTTTGGGCTTTTATAGTTTTGGGCTTTGGCGTAGGATGCAAGCTAACCTAAATCTATAAATACAGAGTAACCCTTATTTTGTAAACAACTCTCATAACTCATAACATTGTATTTACAGAATTTGCAGTTGCAAGTGAATAAAGAAGTTTTCCACAACTTGTGGGTAGAGAGAAATTCTGCAGAATATTCATCTTCTTCTTCTCCAACATTATTTTCTTTCTTTCTTTCTCAACCTTTTTTTTTCATTTTTATTGTGTGATTGATAACAATCTTGTTCATCAAGATTGAGAGAAATTCTTTATAGGTTGTGGTTGAATTCCAACATCTAATATCTAGAGCTCCCGTTGCGATTCAATGAAGCAAAACTGTGATGGTGATGAATCTTCCAAACAAGAACTTTCCAACGAACCTTCCGATTCTCAAGAAAGATAATTTTGAGAATTGGTGTAAGCAGATTAAGGTGGTTTTATGTTATCAAGATCTTTGGGATCTTGTGAAGGAAGGAGTAACACCACTTGTTGAAAATGCGACAGATCAAGAAAAGGCTGCACACAAAAAAATTGAAGAAGAAATATTATAAAGCTCTCTTTATAATCCATCAATGTGTTGATCCAGATACTTTGAAAAAGTTAGTGATGTAGAGTCAGTGGAGGAAACGTGGGAAATTCTAGATAAGTCGTTTGAAGGAGCAGAGAAGGTGAAAGAGGTGAGGTTACAAACTCACAAGAGAACCTATGAATTGTTTCAGATGGAAGAAAGTGAAAGTATAATAGATTTCTTCACTAGGGTTACTAAACTAGTGAATCAAATCAAGGTATGTGGAGAAGTGTTGACATTAAGATCAGTTGTTGCAAAGATCTTGAGGTCATTGGCTCCAAAGTTCAACCACGTGGTAGTAGCCATAGAAGAGTCGAAAGACTTGTCAGTATTGACGAAGGAAGAGCTTCAAAGGACGCTTAAGTCTCATAAACAAAGGATGGCTGAAAGAGCTGTAGGAAAGTCGAAGAGTGATATGGCTTTGCAGGCGCAAATAGAAAAAGAAAAGAATGGCAAAGGAAGTTAGAATGGAAACAAAGGCAGATGAGGCTACAACAATTCGACTAGTCAAAGTCAGTAGGAAGTAAACTAGTCGAATCTGAGAAAACTCTATAACCAAGGAAACCAAAGAGGTGGTGCTGCAGGTAGAGAAAGAGGTGATGGTCGAAAATCTGACTAAAGTCTTATTCAGTGTTAAAATTGTCAGAATATGGTCATTATTTTAGTAAGTGTCGAGAAAATAAGAAGAATCTAGAAACTGATACAAAGCTGGCGAAATATGAAGAAGAAGAGATGTTTCTGATGGTCACAACAATAGATGAAGAAAGATTCTAGGACCAATGGTACTTGGACTCAGGATGCTCATCACACATGACTGGTAGGAAATATTGGTTTGTCAACATGAAACCCTCGATGAAGAACATGGTGAAATTTGTAAATGACAATAATCTAGCAGCTGGAGGTATTAGTGATGTTCTGATTATGAGGAAAGATGGTAAGAGGTTAGTAATTTCCAATGTATTGTACATACCAGGTATGAAGAGCAATTTGCTCAGTACAGGGCAGTTGGTCGAAAAGAATTATAATGTGCCAATCAAAGACAAGATGATGAGAGTTCACGACTCAGGTGGTAGGTTAGTCTTGAAGGCTTCAATGTCTCAGAATAAAACCTTCAAGATTGAACTAAATGTGATGGAGCATAAGCGCCTGACAACTGCAGCCAACAAAGATGAATGGATATGGAATTATCGACTTGGCCATCTTAATTCAAAGACATCAGAGATTTTAAGAGAAGAAATATGGTTTTAGGATTACCAAAAATTGACATTCCAAGCGAAGTGTGTGAATAATGTGTTTAGAAGAAACAATACAAGAATAACTTCAGCAAGGATGCAGGAAGCAATTCAAAGGCAATTCTTGAAGTCATATACTTTAATGTATACGGTCCTATACATGTGGATTCGATTGGAGGCAACAGATACTTTGTCACATCCATAAATGATTTCAGTAGAAAATTGTGGACTTACCTGATCAAGAAGAAAAGTGAAGTGATCGAGGTATTTTCTAAATTCAAATCTATGATCGAAAACAAAGTGGTCGAAAGCTAAAGATTCTAAGGACTGGTGATGGTGGAGAGTATGTGTCGAAAAATTTCAATTCATTATGTTAGAAAGAAGGGATTATGCATGAGGTGGTGCCACCCTACACTCTACAACAGAATGGAACTGCGAAAAGGAAGAATAAAACCATCATGAATATGGTGAGAAGTATGTTGAAAGGCAAGCATCTACCCAAAGAATTATGGGGATAAGCTGTATCGACAACAACATACATCTTGAATAGATGTCCAACGAAGAAGCTAGAAGGAATCACGCCAGAAGAATGTTGCTCTGGTGTCAAGCCTAGCCTAAGTCACTTGAAGGTGTTTAGATCTATAGCACATAAACATGTGCCAGATCAGTTGAGAAGAAAGTTTGATGACAAGTTAAGTCAAATGATCCTGATAGGATATTATTCGACTAGAGGATATAAGTTGTTCGACCCATTAAACAAGAAAGTTGTGATCAGCAGGGACATGATAATAAATGAGCTTAAGGAATGGGATGGGATTGAGGATGTTAGGAAGGATTGAATTAGAATCTTATGTGAAGAACCAACTAGTGAAGTCAAAAGAGAAGTTCGACAATAAGAAGTCATAGGTGAAGCAGACCCAAACAGACCTCGACGAATAAGACACATGCCTGCAAGGTTGCAAGAATGTGTGATTACATCAGATGATGTGGTCGATGAGAAAGGTGAGCTGGTACACTATGCTTTCCATGCAGATGTCAAACCAGTCAATGTAGTTGAGGCATTGAAAGATTCGAAGTGGGAGAAAGCAATGAATGAGGAACTAGAGTCCATCAAAGTCAACAACACTTAGTCACTTGTCGAATTGCCTCAAGGCAAGAAGGTAATTAATGTGAAATAGGTGTTGCGGTGAGAATAGAATATCAAGCTATCAATTAACTTGAATCAAATCATGAAGTTCACCATCGAGCTTTGATTTATCCAAAGGAAAGGGTAAAGATCTAAGAAAACCCTGAGTGTGTTATGTAATAACAAAGCTAGAGATCTAAGGTTCGGGGGTTGGTTATACCAAGGGAAGGTGTTAGCATCCTCAGTATCTGTAGTACTTTACAGGAACCTCTTGTTAGTATTTGTGTTATGTTAAAATTTCTTGCTAAGCGAAAGGTGCTAAGGTAAAGACCTATGGTATATACACTAAGTATGCTCGCCAAGACATCACATCTCGTGCCTATGTATCCTGACTAGGATG